GTGCTCACCAGAGACAGTGAGAGAGAAAGTGAGAAATCAACCTTCAGAGGGGATGGTCACACCACAGTTCCTTCTCCATTCTCCTTCTGGCTGGGATCTTGGGAAAGCATGTACAAGAACCAGTGTGCAGCCACTGGGTCAGGGACTTGATCTGCAATTGGTCATGTGGGAGTCTAGTACCTTAACCCCTACACCACTGGCTAGTCCCGAGGACTGTTATTTTTAAGATATTAAATCTTCCCTGGGTCGTACACATGCACATACGCCCAGCATGTTTTACATGCTGCTGTGTCTGGGATTCAAACTGTTCAGCCGGCCATGTGGGACCCAATGCCTTAACCTCCGTGCCACCTGCTGGCCACATTCATCTCTGGTTTTGAAAGTTTTTCTTCTTTTTTTTTTTTTTTTCCTGAAGTGATGTAGGTGAGTCAAACAGAAATTTAAGGCATTACCTTAACTGGAAGCCTCAATAACCTTATATATTCTGGAGAGTTTTCATGCCATGAATCACTCCCAGGTTTATCCAGCACTGAATCATGGATACACATACCCAACACGTTCATGGATGTCTTCAGACACAAATCTGCAACTTCCCATGTGGTCGGCCTTGCAGAACATTGTTTTACCATTGCACCACTGTTTTCACACGTGAAGTCTCAATTTAGCAACTCTGTTCTGTTGGTGTGGTCACTGACACCTAAAATAGCCTTAGATTATGAGTGAGCAGAGTCCCTAACTGCCAACTTTGAACTTCTATGATAAAACAACTCCCTTTTGATCATAATATGCTACTAGTCCATTCCATTCCTCTGGACTTCACTACTGGAGTAGTAATTCTATTCTTTTTTTATTTTTTCCTTTTGAGTGAGATTTTTTTGCTATAGGGCAAGTACACTTGCCAGAGAGACAGAGAGACAGAAAGTGAGAAATCACCCTGTAGGAAGGATGGCCATGCAACAATCCCTTCTTCTTCAGATTTTGGGCACACACGCACACGCACCTGTCATGAGTTTTAAGACACCTATGTGGGACTCGAACCATGGTAAACTACATGGGAATCCAGGGACATAACCTTTATGCTATCTGCTGTTCCTAATTATACTTGTTTTTATGACTGCTGGACAAATTATCACAAACTTACTGGCTTAAACAACCTACATTCTTTCTCTTACAATTCTGGAGATCAGAAGTCATTAAATTAGGGTTGCAGGCCAGCAGGTGGCATGGAGGTTAAGGTGCTGGAACAGTTGTGCTGTTTGAGTCCCAGGCCTAGTGACTTGAAAAATCACACTGGGGGGACCAGCAGTTAGCGTAATGGCTATGTCGCTGTACTCCCATGTAGCTGACCACGGTTCGCGTCCCGGACTCGGTGGCTTAAAACTCACTCCAGGCGCACATGCATGCATGCCCAAGATCCCAAGAGGAAAATGGAGGAGAAGAGACTGTGGTGTGGCCATCCCCTCTGGGGAGTGATTTCTCGCTTTCTGTCTCTCTGTCTCTCTCTGTCTGTCTGGCGAGTGCACGTGCCCTATAGCAAAAACCTCTCAAAAAAAAAAAAAATTACACCAGGTGCATGTGTGTATATGCCCAAAACTGTGAGAGGAGACTGGAGGAGAAGAGTTTGTGGCATAGCATTCCCCATGACTGGGAGTTGATATTTCTCTCTCTCTGGCAAATGCATGTGCTCTATAACAAGAACTAAAAACTAAAAAGAAGAAAACAAATACATTGGGGTTGCCAGGCTCTGTACCTTCTGGAGGCTCCAGGGGAGAATCCCATTCCTTGCTCTTTCCAATGTTAGAGGCCACCTGCATGCTTTTTCTCAGGGCCCTTCCTCCGTCTCCAAAGCCAGCAGCATAGCGTCTTCAAGCCTGTGTTTCTGCCCCTCTGCTTCCATTATCGCATCACCTCCGTCTTCAGTGATATAATCTACCCTTTACTTTTTCTTCTTTTTTTCTAAGTTTATTTTATTTATTTATGTACTATTATTCTTTTAAAATTTGCTATAGGGCATGTGTGCTCTTTTAATTGCCTATAGAGCACATGAGCTCACCACAGACAGAGAAAGAGAGGAAACAAGCCGCTCGGTCCAGGACTTGAACTGAGGTCAGCCATGTGGGAGTCCAGTGCCTTAACCACCACGCCAGCTGCTGGCCCCTTCTCTCTGTGCTAAAGGCGCCTGTGATTACAGATAGAACTGTATAATCCAGGATAACCTCCCTATTGTAAAATCCTTAATTTAGTCACAGGCACAAAGTTCCTTATGCTGCAGAAGGTAACAGACAGAGTCCAACAATGAAGATGCAGACATCTTGGTGGGCCATTATTCAGGTTTCCATGGCGATCAGAGCCAGAATCCTTATTCATGACCTGCGAATTTGGGATCTTTTTTTACTATTCCTGTCCAATAGAACAAGGTCTCCTCTCTCTATGCTCCTCAAACTCATGCCGAAGGCCAGTGATTTGTTTTTTTGACTGGGGCCACATTCTTACCCCTGTCAGCCACTGAGGCTCCCTGAAAACTATTGTGCTAAATCTTGAGAAAATGCAGTGCTGCTTCCAAGAATTTACAATGTAGCAGAGGAGACATTGGACACAGCAGCACTAACATCCTCTTCTCCCAAATAGAAGATGATGTCTCTGAAGTTCATACTGTTTTGCCTTTTTTAAAAAAAATTTTTGAGAGAGAATTTTGCTATAGGGCGCATGTGCTTACTGAAGAGACAGAGATAGAAAGCAAGAAATCACCCCCAAGGGTGGCCATGCCACAATCTCTTCTCCTCCACTGTCTTCTCAGGATCTTGGACAGGCACGTACATGCGCCCAGTGTGAGTTTCAAGCCGCCAGGTCCAGAACTAGAATTGCAGTGAACTACATGGGAGTCCGGCAGAATAATCATTATTTCACCTGCTGGTCCCTGAATCTCACACTTTAAATTCCAGTATAAATTCTATTGGTATTTGAAATGTGTCTGTTGGTTCTTTTTCTGGATCACCCTTACCTGAATAGAAGCAACTATTGGTGGGTATTGGTGAGTATCTGATAGGCAGGCATCTAGACCCTCTCCTCACCCTCCACCTCCCCCATCTCATAAAATGTAGCCTCTCTCCAATGCTTTCCCATTTTGAATTTTTGCACTTCTTCAGTTTGTATTTGTGCTTCCATGTTTCTCAGAATAGAGTCCAGAGAAATCAGAGGCTCTGGGAGAGACTGTGTCCCAGCAAACACCGTATCTTCCAGAAAAGAATCTGCCATATCTCACTTTTTTTCTCTCCCAAACTACTTGCGTCTGTGTCTTTCTATATTTCCTTACTTTCCCAGTGATTTCTGTGATGGTATTTCCTCTTTCCTTCATCTGCACCCAAGAGGGAGCCTGAGAGAGGGAGCTCACTAAGGATGGATTGGCCTCCTCTTTCCCATTTTTTTTTTTTTTACTTTATTAAAACACTGAGTTTATTTCACGTGTATATTTTTGTCTCCCCACCATTCCAGTGAGAACCCATGGTGACAACACCAGGTAATGTCGGAAACCACAGAAAACTCAGATGGGATCCAATGGAAAAGCTGAGGTCTTTTATTATTTTTTAACATTTACTTTCTTAAATTTCCTGTAGGGCACTCATGCTCACTAGAGAGAGACAGAGAGAGAGAGAGGGAAAGTGAGAAAGCAATCCAGCAGGTCCAGGACTTGAACTGCAGTCAGCCATGTGGGAGTCCAGCACCTTAACCACCATGCCATCTGTTGGCCCCAAGACTTAGGTCTTTACATAAAGAGGAATGGCAATTGTTTGTTCTCAGACTCTGCTCAAAGCTGATTCGCCTTTCTTGGAAAGTGAGACAATTTGGAGAATTCACTATTCTCCAAATAGTTATAGTTAATGATGATCTGGCATATTTTTTTGGCAATCAAGAAATTTATTAATTTATTTTTTTGTTGTTTAGGTTTTTTTTTTTTTTTCCCCGTTTTTTTTCTCTTGGGGCTAGAACAGGAATTTTTCAGTTCTTGCTTCCAACTCACTAATTATTTCTTCAACTAAGTCTCATCTGGTTTTTAAATGTCCATTAAAATTGTCTTATTTTTCATTTTAGAAGTTCTGTTTGTTTAAAAATATGTTCATACACTTTATTAGTATTTTAAAACCTCTCTCTTTTTAAATTGAGGTAGGTTAAGCATACTTATTTTATATATATATATTTTTAGTTGTTCCATTATCTCGAGTTTTGGAGGTTTGATTCTGCTGACTTTTTTCCACTGTTCCCCACACGTGATGTCTTATCTCTGCTATATTTCATGATTTCTAAATGTGAGCAGTTCTTTTTCCTTGTAGTATAATCTGTGGACTTTTTTCCCAAGATCTAAGGAAATGTAGTTTTCCCCAGAAATCATGTGTATTTGATCCAATCAAACGCCTGGAGGGAACATGGTAGCACCACCTGAATTAACTTTAAACTAGCGGCTTTTTGAGCCACCCGCACGTGTCAGTTCAGGCAGAAAACCAGCCTGAGGACTGGCTTAGTGGACACTTAGGCCGTCCTTCTCCGTCTTTCTCCGTCTTCCGTACAGTAGTTTTCTTTGTGCTCCCTCATCTTTAGCCTTTTAGTCTTTTGAGACCCCAATTTATCTAGTCTCTCCTATTAGACTAAAACTTTGTATAAACGCCTTTGCCCTCTTTCCTTGGCAAGGCTATAAATGGATAATGAAGGCATTAAACAGATCTTTTTTTTTTTTTTGGAGAGGTTTTTGCTATAGGGTGCATGCACTCACCAGAAAGACAGATTGGCGAATTTGATCAATATTACTATTCTGGTTGTGATCCTGTACTGTCTTTCAAGATGTAATCTTGGGAGAAACTGAGAAAAGGTACAAGGGTTCTTTTTTCCCCAAAAAAAGAGAATGAAAAAGAAGGCATGTGTGGCGTGGTGGTTGGGGGCGCTGGACTCCCACATGGGTGACTGTGGTTCAAGCCTTGGACCTGGTGACTTGCTTTCTTACTTTCTCTCTCTCACTTTCTCTCTCTCTCTCTCACTCTGTCTCAGTCTGGTCAAATTAAAGAAATAAAGTTAAATAAAATAATTTTTAAAAAAGAAGGCGAGCGAAGTATGATTTCACTGATATAAAATTACACATGTGTGTGTGAGGTGCATAGACAGATAATTGAAATTCACCAAAATATGAACAATGGTTTATCCTAGGTGGCCAGTCTTGGAGCAATTAATCCTCTCTGAGTCATTGTGAAGTTCAAGGTCCCATCACTGCTGTGGTCCTCCTCACAGTTCTGATGGCCAGGTCCCAGGCTGTCCTTCAACACCACGCCAGGACCCTCAGAAGCACTCAGCTGGGGCAGATGAAGGAGAGGAGTAAGTCCACCTCATTCCGGACAATGAGCTTCCCTGGGTGGATGTTGTCTGGCACAGCCAGGCTGGAGGTCATTTCCCAGGCATCCACTCCCGGCTCACCAGGTCGGTCACAGCCGCCCGGATCCCTGCCAGCCGTCGCACAAAGATGGATGGGGGGAAAGTGGTGAAGTGGGCTCCCAGACCCAGCACCACCACAGTGTGGGGACCCCCGGCCAGGCCCTCCAGCTCCCGGGCCACAGAATGCAGGGAGGCCACTGGTGTGCGGAGGGAGCGCAGGGGCCAGCCATGGGCCCTCCAGTGCAGCACTATGTCCCGGGTGGTGTCCACAGCCATCAGGGGCCCTGTCTGATATGTGACATGTAGATCCACTGGCTTCAGGGCTGTTGGGAGGGTGAGAGAGGAGGAATGAGTGATTAATACAGAGATATTATTATACCGTGTACATTATCATCAGCAGACAATTTTCATTTTTGTTTCTATAAAATGTTTTTCCCTCCTGCTCCCCTCCCTCCATCCCTGTTACCCACCCCCTCCTATACTGTTTCTAGTAGTCTCAGTTTCCCTTCCAGTTATTATAACTTCTAACCTTTCAGTTTCTGCCATAGTGCAGGTGTAGGGTATATATTAAGTGAGGACACACAATGCCTGTCTTTTATGGTCTGGCTTTCTTCACTTAGCATTGAATCTTGCCTATTCATCCACTTTGCATCAGATGTCAGGGTCTTATTGTTCTTTATGGCCGAGTAGTATTCCATAGTGTATATGTGCCACATTTTTTCAGTCCATTCATCTGTTCTTGAAACTTTGGGCTGATTCCAGGACATAAGCATCTGTCCCCACACTGTCATACCTCACTTCCAAATTGTCAAGATTGCCAAAGATACCACTACTATCCATCCAAACTCCTTTTAATTTTGCTTTTAAACCTCTGTGGCATTTGACTTCTATGCATTGATTAACTCCTTCTGAAAACCTCTTTTCTTGTTACCGTCTATAGCACTACGTTATCTCATTTTATTCTATCTTTCTGGCCATTTGGTAAATTATTTGCTTCATATTTTGCTTGCATTGTCAATGAAGGCATTCTCTAACATTCATCTTCTTCTTTCTACTATTTTTCCTTCTTTATCTTTTTTTAAACTTTTATTTATTTATTTTTAGAGATTTTTGTTATAAGGCATGTGCACTCGCCAAAGAGAAAGAGGGAGACAGAGACAGAAAGTGAGAAATCACCCCCCAGGGGGGATGGCCATGCCGCAATCCCATCTCCTCCATTCTCCTCCTGGAATTTTGGGAAAGCATGCACATGCACTAAGTCTGAGTTTTAAGCTGCCGGATTCAGGAGTCAAACTGGGATTGACTACTTGGGAGTCCAGCTACATAACCATAATGCCATCTGCTGGTCCCAGTTTAAGCTGTTAATAACTTTCCATTACATTCATCTAACAATTTTGCACAGGTACGCACTGAAGTGTCATCTAACGGGCACTGTTTAGGTACTTTTGTATACAATAAAAGCTTACAGTCCCTTGGGAGAGAGCCATTTCCTCATGCAGAAAGGAGACTGGTAATTCTGAGTGACTATAAGAAGGTTAGCAATCCTGGCATGTAATGAATGGCAAGAGATGGGACTAGGGGTGTAGGGCAGAGTCATACCAGGCAATACCTTGTAGATCATGTCCATGATTTGGATTTTTGCCAAGGAAATTGGAGTTCATTGGGCATAAATAATATGATACAATTTACATTTTAAAAAGCTCGTGCTTGCTCTTTTGCGAAAACCTGGGGTGGAGGCACATTGGCAATGACCAAATAAAAAGAAGTCGAGGCAGAGGGAAGAGTGTGGGTTATAGATGTATTTCTGATGTAAAGTAGACCAGAGTAGATAATAAATTGCATGCTGGCATCAAAGACCAGCAAGGATCTTTAAGGCTCAGATTCTGGCTTACGTGGTTGGGAGATAATGGTACTGACTGGAGGCACATTGGCAATGGCCAAAGATAAAGAAGTAGAGGCAGAGGGAAGAATGTGGGTTTCAGGAAGTCTGGATTATGTTTTAGTGCTGGAGAAGGCGGAGGGTGATTCAGAGGTTAGTGCTGTCTTAAATTGTAGGATGCTTGAGAGGCATTTCTATGGTGATATCAAGTTGGCAGCTGGTGTTCGGAAGAGTGATCTGAGCCAGAAAAGTAAATTTGGGATTTATTATAATTATGGGTGTTATTAGAGCCATAGGAATGGGCAAGATCACGCAGGAAGATCATGATGAGGGAGAAGAGAGGAGAGTCCATAAAGAATTTCAAAGAACTCCCAAATTTAGAGACCAGGGAGAAGATGACGAGAGTAAGGAGGAAAGACTAGAAAAATAAGAGAAAATCAGGAGCAAGTGGTGATAACAAAATCAATAAAGTAAGATGTTTGTATTTGAAAGAGTTGGATGTCTCACCTATTCAACTGAGACAAAAACACATACTTTAAATAACATAGTTTGTTGAAGACACCCTTGGCATAATGATTATATCGCTGGACTGCCTCATAGCAAAACACGGTTCGAGTACAGGATCCGGTGACTTAAACTCACACCAGGCACATGTGTGTGCATGCCCAAGATCCAGAGAGGAAAATGGAGAAGGGATTGTGGCGTGGACATCTCCCCTGAGGCGTGAGTTCTCACATTCTGTCTCTGACTCCCTCCGTCTCTCTGGTGAGTGCACACACCCTATAACAAAAATCTCTCTCTCTAAAAAAATTATGGGTTCAGCACATGTATCAAAACATCATACTGTACCACATAAATACAATTACTATGTGCCAATCATAAATGAAAAAGGCTTTTAAATTATTTGAAGAAATTATGGCTAAGGATTTTCCAAGAAGCAATTAAATATATAATGAAGAGCATCAGTTAGTGCCAAAGAGCTCAACAAAGCTGACATGGAATCTTAAAAAAAACACATATGTAGGCACACATATATTGAAACATCAAATAAAAAAGAGAGAAGACAAAAATTACACTGCCAGCACTGAAATAGAGGTTGTCACTCCAGAGTCTGCAGACACCGGACACACAGTATGGAGATAATACGGACTGCTCACCCATGAACTTGGCATCTTACCTGGAATGGACCAATTAACTGAAAACCACAAAGTACTTTATAAGTACACCTGCTTTGAAACTGATCATCTGAATAGCACTATAACTATAAAATAATTCTAAACAGTGTATCAACCAAGGGCAATATGTACACCTTGTCTGAATCCTGATCCAAACCATCTACTGTAGTAGAAAAAGATAGACCGTGAAAGTAGTAAGAGAAGAAAGTTGGTATAGACTTTAGCTGTAGAGATGTACAGTCATTGAATGTATAAAATAAATGAAAACAAAAGACAAACATCATTTCTACAAATAAAATAGATTCCTTCAAAATAATAAAATGTTCAATTTGGGATTGGCAAGTGGCATAATGGTTATGTCACTGGTAAGGTGGTTAAGGATGCTGGATTCCCACATGGCTGACCTCGGTGTGAGTCCCGGACATGGTGGTTTGAAAATCACACTGGGGGAACAAGCAGTTGGTGTAAGGGCTATGTCGCTGAACTCCCATGTAGTTAACCACAGTTCACGTCTCGGACCCGGTGACTTAAACTCATGCTGGGTGCATGTGCGTGCGTGCCCAAGATCCTGAGAGGAGAATGAAGGAGAAGGAATTACAGCATGGTCATCTTCCCCTTGGGGGTGATTTCTCACTCTCTATCTCTCTCTCTGTCTCTCTGCCTTTCTGGCAAGCACACACACCCTATAGCAAAAACCTCTCCAAAAAAAAAAAAGAAAGAAAGAAAAAGAAAATCACACTGGGAGTCTGTGCATGCATGCCTAAAATCCCAAACCCCAAGAGGAGAATGGAGAAGAAGGGATTATGGCATGACCAATCCCCCTTGCGGGGTGATTTCTCACTTTTCTCTCTCTTTCTCTGTCTCCTCTCTGGCAAACACACATGCCCTGTGACCAACTCTTCCCCGACCCCCAAAAAAAAACCCAAAATAAAAAAGAACCACTTGTCGGGAACATGTAATTATTGAACATAGCTATAGCAAATTTTTGCTATAGGTCACGTGCACTTGCTGGAGAGAGAGAGAGATGGAGAGACAGCGAGAAATCACCCCCAGAAGGAGAATGGCCATGCTTCAGTCCTTTCTTTTCCAGTTTCCTCTTGAGATCTTGGGCACACATGCACATGCACCTGGCATGAGTTTTAAGCTACTGGGTCTGGGCCTCAAACCATGGTTGACTATGTGGGAATCAGGCAATGTAATCAATATGCCATCTGCTGGTCCCCACAATACCTCTCCTCCATTCTCTTCCTGGGATCTTGGACACACAGGCATGCATGCCCAGCGTGGTTTTCAAGCCACCAGGTCCGGGACTTGAACTGTAATCGCCCATGTGAGAGTTCCTGCCATGTCATCTGCTGCTCCTGACTTTGTGTGTGTGTGTGTGTGTGTGTGTGTGTGTGTGTACGTGTGTGAGAGAGAGAGAGAGACAGAGATTTTTGCTCTAGGTTGCATGCACTTGCTGGAGAGACAGAGAAACAAAAATTGAGAAATCACCCCCCCAGGAGGGATGGCCATGCTGCAATCCCTTCTCCATTCTCCTCTCAGGACTTTGGGCATGTACGTGCGTGCACCCGGTGTGTTCAAAGGCGGGGTCTGGGACTCAAAACACTGTCGGCCATGTTGGAGTTCAGTGCCTAAACCACTATGCCACCTGCTGGTCCCTGTCCTTCATATTTTAATTTTACTTAAAAGACAAAGTGGGGATTTTATTTAGAAAGTAAGTGGGGACTTTTGCTGTGGTGACACATTGTATGATTTGATAGAGTTTGATGCTGTCGTTTGAGCCGGTTACATAACTCTGGCTAACAAACTGGAAAGGTAGCTTGGTGGTAACAATCACACCCTCCCAGCCCTGATTCCTTCACGTGCCCTTCAGAAAGTCCCAGCATCCTCCCCACCTCTCCACCGAGCACAGGAGTCACTCTTCAAAGCCTTTCCTGTTCACCCCTTCCTTCATGAGCCCTCAGGAGTCCCAGGCCTCCCTCACGGTCGGTCACTCACAGGGCACGGTGTCCCGGAGATACTCCCACCACTGCCGAAGCGTGGAGTCCCCCATCATGTGGATGACGTGGCCAGCCAGGCAGCCCAGGATGCTGTCGACAGTGGAGAAGGAGCGGCTGGAGCAGGCCAGCGAGTGCCACACATCTTGGTGGTAGAAGCCAGAGGGCTTTGGAACCAGGAGCCCAGGGCGGCATGGGAGCCGCGGGGACAGGGCTATGGGAAGGAGAGAAATAGAATAAGCTAAAATAATGTTTTAAATAGCTAACATTAATACTGTCTCTTGCAACACGCAGGCGCTCTTCTACATACGTTACATGTATTCTTTAATTTACACTTTTATAAAACCCATGGGGTACTAGTTTTATCTTCATTTACAAGGAGGGGCCACTAAGGTGCTGAAACGAGAAGTAATTTACCCCTGATTAAGAATGTGACTGGTAGTTCCTAAAAAAAACAAAAACGAACCCACCAAATGACCCAGCAACGCCACTTCTGAGTATACACTCAAAGGAACTGAAACTGGGATCTTGAAGCGGTATCTTAACCCCCATGTTCATTGCACGAGAATTTCCAATAGCCAAGACAGGAGAACAGCTGAGTGTCTGTTGACAGATGCCTGGATAAAGACAATGTAGCACACACATGCATACACACATGTGCAGAACATACACATGGTGGGATAGTATTCAATCTTGAACGAAGGAAATCCTGCCATTCGTGACAACATAGATGAACCTGGAGGGCATTGTGATAAGGGAAATAAGCTGGCCACAGAATAGACAAACACTCTATGATTTGTATGATGCACTTACGTGTAGGATCTAGAAAAGTTGGACTCATAGAAGCAGAGACTTCTATGGTGGCTGTCAAGGGCTGCAGGAAGTGGGGCGTGGGGAGATGCTGGTTAAAGGAACAAACTTTCCGTTATAAGCTGAGTGAAGTCTGGGGAGCTAACACACAGCCTGGTGAGTATAGTTAACAATACTGTATTACATACTTGAAATTTGCTGGGAGAATTGAGCCTAAGTACTCTTACCACGCACTCACACACCCACACACACATACATAACATAACTACGTGAGGTGATGGATGTGCAAACTAACTTGAGTGTGGTAACTATTTCACAATGTTTATGCAAGTCATATCATCACACTGTGTACCTGAACTATACATAACTGTGTTGATTATACTTCGATATAGCTGGACAAATGAAAAAGAAAACATAAAGAAGAAAATGCCATTATTTGTGACAACATGGATGAACTTGGAGGACATAAAGCTGAGTGCAATAAGCCAGCCATAGGACAAATACTAGGTTGTTGGAAAAGTCATGGCGTCTCTTTCTATGCAAAATGCATCATGACTCTTACAACAACCCAATACATGCTATCACTTATATGTGGACTAGAAAACACTCAGACTCACAGAAGCAGAGGAGAATGTTTGCTGGTAGGGGTTAGGGAAAGGGGAAACGAAGGTATTAGTAAAGGGATACAAACTTTCAGTTATAGAAGAAGTCCTAGGGATGCACTGTACAGTATAGAGCCTATAGGTAAGGATACCACGTCGTATATTTTAAAATGCGCTAAGAAGGGAGATCTTCCCGAGAGGAGAATGGAGGACAAGGGATTGCAGCGTGACCATCCCCCCTGGGGGGTGATTTCTCGCTTTCTGTCTCTCTGTCTCTCTCTGTCTGTCTGGCGAGCACACGTGCCCTATAGAGAAAACCTCTCCAAAAAAAAAAAAGAAAAGAAAAAGAAGGGAGATCTTATGTTACGAATTTTTTCACATGCAAAAAATTTATAATAAAGTAAGAGGCCCAGCCTTGATGCCTTAGAATGCTGATCTGCAGTGTTGGAAGCCACATTGCCCACTGTGGGTTCAGATCCCATTTGAACCTAGAACATGGAGGGTGTGTGCATATAGAATGTACATACCTTTCACAGGTATGTACTTGTTTCCAAATTCATTAAGTTGCATACATTACATATATACAGATTTTTCATACATAAACCATGCTTCAATAAAGTGGTTAAAAAAAAGAGTGACTGGCAGAGACAGCACTTGAACCCAGAAGTCTGAGGTTACAGACCGTACTACTAACCGTCGCACATCCTGCCCTGCTAGGGAAAGACTAAACTCCCAGGGGAGGAATGAAAAGCCCCGTAAGTCCATCCTTAATACCATCACCACAGCCACCCCTGGCATGTCCTGGGCCTCACTTACCCAGACTGATGTTCCCTGTGGCTGCTGTCCTGATCTGAATTGGAGAAATTCCCTGAGGGAGCAGCTTGTCAGTCACATTCCTGCAGAAACACCATGAGTGAGCATTGAGGATGACCCCCAGGTACAGACTAGTCATTTCCACTCTGCTAATTCCAAAAAGAGTTTGAGGTCACTGCAGGATCATTATCACACCAATAAGTTGGAGTAATTATAATAAGAAAAAATAATGGAAAACAGAGAAAATGTCGCCAGAGCTTGGCGGAAGGACCTCTGCAATTAACCCATCCGTTAGGCTCTTAGCTCACGAGCAGTCACGATGAGCAGAGAATAACTGAACTGGATCTTGCATCAGTGGTTCTGTTTCCAGTCATGGGGGTGCACGAGCATGCCAGGAGACACGAACTGTTCCTGGCACCAAATCCTGGAGAGATCATGTAGTACAACCATGTTTTGTGACATGAACTCTCACAGGGGAAAATAACCCCTCACAGTGTAAGTATGGGCCATGCGTGGTGATTTTCAAAGAAACACTATGGAAGAGGAAGGTGGTGGAGAGTAGCGTTTCTCTGGAAAAGCCTGACAAACACCACCTGACCACGTTATCAAGGTTAAGCCCAACAGGCATAAATGACATTGAGATATGATACGATAAAATGCGACCAGCTCTATGAGGTCCTTCCCAGAACATCCAGCCCTAACCTACGTATAAGAAAACCCTGGGACAAATTCTAACAGGGAAATTCTACAATTGACCAATTCTTCTGAAAACTGTCAAGATCCTCACTGACAAAGTCTGAGGACCTGTCACAGCTAAGAGGAGCCTAAGGAGACATGACAACTAAGTGCTATGCACTGCTCAAGCCTTACACACATCGTGGGAGTGCCCGGGGTCCAGCAGAGAGGAAGGGGCCCTAGCACAGCATGACCCTGTGGAGAGGGCTGTTTCTCTCTCTCTTTCATGCACCCTATCATAAATAAAGAATTTTTAAAAGAATTATTTAATTTTATTTATCATTATTATTATTTTAAAATTTGCTACAGGGTACATGCACTCACCAGAGAGAGAGAGTTAATGAGAAAGCAAGCCACCAGGTCCAGGACTCGAACCATAGTCAACCATGAGGGACTTCAGCACCTTAACCACCATGCCACTTGCTGGCCCCAGAAAAAAATTTTTAAATAAAAAACAAAACGTGTAGGAGCCAGCAGGTGGCATGGTGCTTAAGGCACTGAATTCTCACATGGCCAGACACAGTTTGAGTCTTGGGCCTGGCGGCTTGCTTCTCACTCTCCCTCTCTGTCTCTCTGGTCAAACTGAAAAATAATAAATAAAATACAATAAATAATTCTTTTAAAAAAGTGTAATGTGATTAACTCAAATAGAATCCTGGAACAGAACAAATGACGTTAGACAAAACTTAAATAATCTAGAGGACTGAGTATAATTAACAATGATGTATCAGTTCTGGTTCATGAATTGTAATAGATGTACCACACTAATGTTGGATATTAAAAATAGGGGAGGGGCCAGCAGGTGATTTCTCACTTTCCCTCTCTCTGTGTCTTTCTCTAGCATGAGTGCATGCCCTATGAAAAAAATCTAATATAATAAAATAATAGGGGAAAATACTGGGGAAAGGAATATGGGAACACTCCGTATTATCTGTTCAATTTCTCTCTAAATATATAGCTGTTTTTAAAAAAATTAAGTCCACTGGGACCAGCAGTTAGCGTAATGTCTATGTCGCTGGACTCCCATGTAGTCAACCCAACCACGTTTCGAGTTCCGGACCCAGTGGCTTAAACTCACGCCAGGCGCATGTGTGTGTGTGCCCAAGATTCTGAGAGGAGAAGGAATTATGGCATGGCCATCCCCTCGAGAGGGTGATTTCTTGCTTTCTGTCTCTCTGTCTCTCTGGTGAGCGCATGCGCCCTATAGCAAAAACCACTCGAAAATATTTAAAAAATAAGTAAATAAAGTCTACTACTAAAAAAAAAAAAAAAAAAAAAAAATCCAGCAATCCCACATGTGGATATTTGCCTAAGAGAAATTTAAGTATTTATCTAATTTTAAGTATTTGGCGGAAGGACTTGTGCAATTAACACATCCATTAGGGTCTTAGCTTACGAACAGTCACAATGAACAGAGAGTAACTGAACTGGATCTTGTACCAGTGTTCAAAACCCTTATACCTTAGTGTTCACAGAAGTTTTATTTATAATGGCTAAAACCTGGAAACAACCCAAAGGTTCATCACAAAATAAATAGAGAAACAGTGATACATCCTTACATTCAAACACTGTCCAGCAACGAAAACAGAAAAAAAACAAAAACAAAAACAAAAACAAAAACAAAAAAACGACCGATGTACAACACAGAAAAGCACCTCAAACATTTCACTGACCAGGTACAGATACCAGAGTTTGATGATTCCATTTCTATGCAATTCTAGAAAAGGTAAAACTGATATTTACTATCAGAAAGCCAGTCAGTGTTTGCCTGGGACTGGGGGCCGGGGGAGGCTTGACTGTGAAGGGACAGGAGAGAAACAGGAGAGGGGGTGGGAATGTTCTGTATCTTACTGCGGTGGTAGCTACATGGCTGTGAACTTTAATTAAAGCATGTTTCATTGTGGACGAATTATACTTCAAAAAACTTTATTTAAAAAATGTGTTTAAATCCAAATGAATTTTTCTTAAAGCTTACATTAAAACCAGAATCTCAAATAGTATTATGGACTGCTGAGCAATGCTGCGATTGGGCAAACAGCTACTAAGTAACTGCGTAGTTGTATGTTGCACCAATGTACCGTCTAGAATAGATGTGCTCTAGAATAGAATGTATTCTCGAGAATAGATGTGCTCCAGTTTAAACGAGGCTGGAAATGACAACTTGATCATGTTTCCTGCTGCATGTTTCTCCCACTCCAAAGCTGAGGTTGAGAACTTCCCTTCTCCCTTTCCTTCCTGAGGTAGGAGAGAGGGGGACAGGGATAGCGTCTTCTACTTTACAGTGAAGCTCACTCGCCATTAGGCCTCTTATCAGAAAATGTATCTGTCTTCTTTTCCCCTCCCTCTGCACATTTTAGAAAGTTATCTTAGTATGTACCTGACATCCAGCTATATCGGATAGGAACATTTTACCAATTTGAATCAGATATTACTGCAAAAAGAAATGAATCCATAGCTAAAATAAAGAAAATAGGGTTAACACCAAATGCTGGGGAGGATGCAGAGAAACTGGATCTCTCATGTCATTGGTGAGAATGCAAAACGGAATGGCCACTCTGGCAATTTCATATAAAACTAAACATCCACTAATCACACAACCTAGCCATTGCACTAAGTTATTTATTCCAGAGAAATGAAAACTTAAGCTTATTTAAAACTTGTATATAAATAGTCATAGGTACTTTATTCATAATAGTCAAAAACTGGAAACAAAACAAAACAAAAAAAAAAACAAAACAAAAAGCAAAACAAAACAAAAAAACTGGAAACAACACAAATGTGCATAAACGAATAAATAGTGAAATAAATTGATCTACCAGACAGCCATAAAAAAGAATGAACTTTTTTTAAAAAGTTTATTTATTTCATACATGTGTGAGCAAGAAGGTGAACCACGTCCCCTTAACATAGCTTTACTTGCCAAGCTGTGATCCTTTAAGACAGCTAGGATCATGGGTGCACCTCTGAGCACGCCTGGAATGTCCAAGTCACCTACCTCCTGTGCCACCATAGCTGGGCCAGGAATGAATTATGAATATTTAGTTATATTGAATTATATCCAGCAGCTCGAATGCATTTCAGGAGCAGTCCACTTGGTAAAACAACAACCACAGAACAGTCCATCTTAAACGGTTATGTGCTATATGGTTCCATTTGTACCATATTTTATAAATGACGAACTGTAGAAATGGAGAACAGATCAGTGGCTGCCAGGTGACAGGGCAGGGTTGGAGGACAGGCGTGCTGTAAAGGCATAGCACAAGGGTTTCCATGATGGTGCTGCAACATGTCTGTATCTTGATCAGGGTGGTGGTTACACAGATCTACACACGTGGTAAACTTGCAAAGAAACACACACGTGCATGTACAGGCTTGTGAAAAATAAGTAAGATCTGAGGACCAGCGGATGGTCTGAACTCCCACATGGCTGACTGCGGTTTGAGTCTCAGACCTGGTAGCTTGAAAAACATGCCGGATGCGTGTGCGCGCGTGGCCAAAGTCCTGACAGGAGAGCAGAGGAGAAAGGACTGTGGCGTGGCCATCCCCCTGGGGAGAGATTTCTCATTTTCCCTCCCTTTGTCTCTGTCTGTTGTTCCCTCTCTGGCGAGCACACATGTCCTGTGGCTAAAATAAAAAAAGATCAAGAGAAAAAGCAGAGTAAGATCCATAGTCTACTTAACAGAACTGTACTAATGTAAAAAAAAATTATTTTTATATTATACCACAGGCATAGGAGATGTTGCTATGTGGGAAGTTGGTGAATAGTATAAAGAGTCTGTGTATTATTTTTGCAACTTCCCATGAGTCTATAGTTATTCCACAATAAAAAGTTAAAATTTAAAAAGTAAAAATATCTTTTCCTATTCTGCTCCTCCAAGAACGTAGTTACTATCATGAGGTTATGTTTATGATTCTCATCCACATTTTATACATTCGATATATATTGATGTACCTAAAACATAGAGTACCATTTGAAAGTTTCAACCATTACATAAATTACTATGTGTGCATCATTACCCATTATGTTTTCAAGATTTAAATGGTATAACATATAGCTGTTCTTCATTCATTTTTTTCAGTTTTTGAATACACCCTAATTTATTTTTCCATGTCTTCTCGGTTGTCATTTAGACAGTTTCTAACACTTTGCCTTCACAGACAATGACTGTGATAAACATTCTTAGGACATATTACCTGAATCTTATGTAAGAAAGTTTCCTGGGGCCAGGTGGCATAGTGCTTAAGGTACTTTACTGTCGCGTGGCTGACCACTGTCTGAGTCCTAAACCTGGCAGGTTAAAAGTCACACTGAATGTGTGTACATGCATGCCCCAAATCTAGAGAGGGGATTGTGGCGTGGGCGTCCCTGGGAGGGGTGATTTCTTACTTTCCCTCCTTTTTTTTTTTTTTTAAGAGAGATTTTTGCTAAAGGGCACATGTGCTTGCTGGAGAGACAGAGATTAGATGGAGAGACAGAAAGTGAGAAATCACACTCCAGGTGGGATGGCCGCATTGCAATCCCTTCTCTCCCATTCTCCTCTTGGAATTTTGGGCATGCATGCACACGTGCCTGGTGTGTTTTAGGCCACCGGATCTAGAACTCAAACCACTGTCGACTATGTGGGACTATGTGAGAGTCCAGTGACATAACCATGATGCCATCTGCTGGTCCCTCACTTTCCCTCTCTCTATCTCAGTCTCTCTGTCTGGTGAGAGCACGTGTCATATGGCAAAAAGCTTAAAGAAAACATAAAAAGAAA